CTCCCTCAACCCTCACTCCCTATAAACACCTGGTACTTCAGCCTCATCAAACCAACTAATGATGTGCAAAAGAGCTTCCTATAAGGATCCTTTCCTGTCAACCTAATTCCCAGTATTAAAAAATATTCCCAGTATTTAGCCATACTGGTTCAGGCTCAGTGAGTTAGATTTCACGCATCACCATCACTGGCGGTGTGGGAATCACTGTTCCAGGGCGTGGGCTCACCCAGAGCCCAAGGGGACTTAATCCAAGGAGCAGTCTGGGGCAGTGGATGGAAAAGGATTCAGGAAACACTGGGGTCAGAGAATTCTCGCTGTTCCCTCCTGAAGATGGGGGAAGACGAGGAGGAACCTGACCAGATATCCAGGGTGATCCTATGTGGGGGGTGACAATCTTACTAAATCAATTTAGCAGAGTTCTTTGCTAAAAATGGATTTTCCAAGGAAAATCCAAGATGGAACTAGGCCACATTGAGGAGCCTGACTAGGGTTAAGCCAAGCAAAATCTTTCTGTCTCCTCACTTTAGGACCAGCTCAGGAGCTAGATCCAGGGAAGTTCTAGTGTGCCCACTGCGGCAGCCCTCCAGGGCTGTGCTCACTTTCTGGACCCTCTCTGTCACCCGTGCCCACACTGGCCTGCATCTGCCACCCTCAGGGAGGGAGTAGGGCGCCACCGTGCACATCCCAGTGCTTGCAGGAAGAATGTCGTGCTTGATGCCATGGGACATCTCCACTCCTCCCTCCTGTTCTCTAGTACTCTACTGCTCCCTCCAAATACACGGAATGCCTCCTAGCAGCCGATCACAGCTAAATCTCTTTAGGCCTTGTCATTCTCTGCTTCCCATGTAGCCTGCTGCACTTCTGTATGACGCATTCTGTAGAGGTTTAATTTTATGTCCCTGCAGCTCTGTGAGCAGAGCAGGTGGAGCAGCTCCATTCCTGGGCGAAGGGCTGCCTCACATTGGGGCACTCAGCCTGGAATCTGACCAGGGCCTCTTGCTTCTGCTGTATTTACATCTGGCACAGTTACATTTTTGTGGAAATTTAGATCTCCTCTTTGGGCCACTATGGATTTACTGGTGCTTTCTCTGTGGTCTAGCCCATGACCAGTCTTTGTAAATGTGTCACAGGTGGTTGAAAAAGAGTAAAGCACAGAGTGAGTGTCCCTAATACTTGGGGCCAGAAGTGTTTCAGCTTTTGCATTTTTTCAGAAGTTGGTATATTTGCATATGTACGGTGAGATATCTTGGTGGGACCCAAGTCCATTATACCTTGTAATTATAGCCTGAATGTAATTTGACGCAGTGTTTTTGGTAATTTCGTACTAAAATAGTTTCATGGCGTAGAATTTTCCGCTTGTGATATACTGCTGATTGCTCAAAAACTGTCAGATTTTGGAGTGGTACCAGATTTTCTGGTTGGGGTACTCAAACTGGATACTGTACTAAGTCACGTGACTGTACTAAGTCACGTATTTGACTCAAACTCTTTAACATACCTACATGATTTTTGTCTACTTTCTTTGCCCAGTTATAGTATGGAATTAGTCCAGTTGCTAATACTCCTTCGACTACTAGCAGTTATCATTTTACATCTCTAGCTGCTCTATTGTTCATACAGAATTCATGATGGTTAAGTCTGTATAGGATCATTTACCCATATTCAATAACCTTTTTGTCAGACTCAGTAGACCAGTAATTCACTTTATACTCTCTTCTGCAAAATGATTTTAATACCGCTAACAACACCTTTCTGAAAACATTTTGCTCCTCATGTGTTTTCTACTTCCTTTATTTTTAACTTGATTTGGTATAGTTTTCTTATGAAAGTTTTAGAAATGGAATTTTTAATCAGTCACTTAAAACCTTATCATCTAGTAAGAGTATATAAAACCAATTCACATTTCATGTTTTTGTCAAATTTCTATCATCTTACTTTTTCCTCTTTTTTTATAATTTCTTGTTATTTTTCATTTTTATTTTTCCATTCTTAGCTGGGGATTTTTCCTTTGCTTTTTTATTTTAATAATTGGAATTTATACAGTAGACACCATTCCTCAGTACTCCATTTGAATCTATATTTCTCAACAATAGCAGCAGTAAATTAGGTATTTTGAAAAGACAGGCTGTGCCTTAAGGGCAGCTTTGGTTGTTCTGCATGTGGCTTTTTTGGTGACCTGTGTTTTAATGCCTTTTGCTCTGGCTTAGTTGATGGAAAAATAGCAACTCTTGGGGTTAGTCCAAGAGCTAAGTCCTACCTCACACACAGGGTATGCATGTGCATGTGTCCTTTGATACCCATTTCACCCAGAGAGAGTGAGCGCCCCTTCCGGGGAGCTTTGACCCTGGGAATTGGAAGGAGAAAGGACGGAACAGTCCCATTTCCATTGGACTTGTCTGTGTGTAAATGCATAGTGTACATTCCCTCAGTTAGGCTTCGTAGAAACCCCCCATAGTGTCATTATCATTTTCTAGATAACACAGTTCAAGCCCAGGAGAGTTAGCAGCTGTCGGATCCCAGGACACCAGACACAAGTCATCAGCGCAAAAGTAGATACTGGGGACAGAGCAGAGGGGAAACCCTAACCCGAGTCGTTTGACTCGAAATCCAGAGGTCATTTCGTTACCACTAACGTGGCCTTGTGGGGCAGCTGACTCCTGGTGTGTGTAAAAGTGTCACTCATGGACATCTGGAACAGCTCCAAGGGTAGCACGGAAGGAAGAGTTCATGTTTGTGGGCTCCACAAGTCACAGTCCTCATCCTTCCAAGCTGCGAGGCACTGGGCCCTGGCCGTCCAGCAGGTGGCAGCTCACATCAAGGGGTCTGCTGCTTCCCTCTGAGCGAAAACACGAAAGCCAAGAGGGCCTAAGTGTTAAAAGAGCAAAAGTCAATACTACGTCATAAAGCACAATAGGAAACTAAAGGAGATACATTTTTAAATCGGTGGCTGAGATAGTTACACATTTATATAACTATATGGCATGTGCAAGTAAAAAGGTTTAAATAATTCATCAGAATCCTTTACAACAATAACAGACCCACAGGTAAAAAGCTCTGGAGTGGTCTGTAATTAACCAGGGTGTCCAAGGGACAGTCTAACTTGATGTTAACTGACAGTAATGACCTGCTTGTTCAGGTGGCTGCGGGGAACTCAGCCCCTCATCCCTCTGCCGTCTCTCACCCACCGGAGCCCTCAGCAGCTGCACATCCCTGTATCCATCTCGCCTGGGAGCTGGGTGGGCAGCCAGCTCCTGGGGACGCAGAGCGCCTTTGAAGATACGTCACTTCCGGTTCCTCCGTGTCCACTGCCTGTCCCACAGATGTGGGTGGGTTGTGATCCTAAACCTTCACTCAGGTCCCATAGGGTGTGAGAGGTGTCAGGTCATGTGACCCTTGCAGAGGACTGTTCTTGTCCTGGCTGCTTTGGGTAATAATTGAGAGCCCGGAAGTTAAACATCACACAAGTTGTGCCTTGTGTGTGTGTGTATTGCTTAAGGGATTGCTAGAGACGAAATGCTAAATGCTCCATGCACCTTTCTTGTAATAATTTTAATTTTCTATAATGCTTCAGAGTGAAAGGGGGAGGTATGCAGAAGAGATTTATGAGTAGCATTTGTTCCCCCAATAATTTAATATGGGTTTTAATAGGTATTTTAAGATTAGTATAGAAGCAGGTCAGTATTAATCACCTGCTGGTGTTCAGAACTGTATTTAAAAGAAATATAAGCCGGGAGTATAGCTCTGGGTAGAATACAACATCTGCATAGAGTGTATGAGGCAAGAGGCCCTGGGTTTAATCCATAGCACTGCAGGAAAAAAAAAAGTAAAACATACTGTTTCCCCTGAAACTTGTACTGGATAATTGCAGGACTATAGCACATTGCACCTGTAAATTGTTAGAGTTCAACATGAGACGGTACTTGTCCTGAAATGCATGATAGATGTGCTGAAGCAAGCCAGTTAGGAAAAAACACCATTGCTAGATATTTGTTAAGGGTCAGCCACTGCGCTCGATAAAATTTTAGTTATTTTTAGATAAAAACCAAAAGCTCCATGGGTAACTAATTATCCATCTTACAGAAGAGGAAACCGAGGCTCACGAAGTTTAACCCCCTTGCCCAGCTCACAGTGACCATCAGGAGTGTGGTCAGGATGCAAGCCCTGGTCCCCGGGAATCACCTCCCACCTCTGTGCAGGCCATCCAGTCTGATGCCAAGTGTCCCTGGCAGGAGTGCAGCTGGGGTTAGAAGCTCTACACGGAATCTGAGTTTGGGTCGACAGAGGCAGGTGTGCCGGTGTCATCTGGCTCCTGGAAGGAAAGAGATGGTGACCAAAGGGGCACTTTCCAGAGGAGGGACTGGCGGGGCCAGACAAAGGACCAGGGGCACTCAGAAGGTCACCGCTCCAGACTTGAGAGACCAGGAGGGAAGGCATGGCGGGAGCCTAGTGTGGGGTGGGACGGAGATCCCCAGCAACTGTGGCCAGGATGGAGGATCCTTCCACCCTGCTCCAAATGGAGAGAGGGTGGGGTGACAGGTGAGGGGATGACCCGACCCCTCCCCTCTGGCTTGAATCGGGCAGAAAGCATCAGGCGGTAGAGTTCACGGTCAGCCTTGGGGACGGAGCAGGCAGACAGGATGGGGAGCGGGTCTGGGGGAAGTGGGAAGGCTGCCTGTGTCAGAGACAGCAGTGCAGGACAGTCACAGGTCACTGTGGGGCCGGCGGTGTCTGAGCCCAGAGGGGCAGTGACCACTGAGAAGCCTGTAGAATATTCAGCATGAACCACATTCATGGATGCCAGCATTCATTTTCATATAATTCTTTCATAAGCCAGAGATAGGCATGTCCCGGGGGGAGGGAGGCAAGGGTGACAGAGACCTTGTGTGGACACTTGCCCACCTCAGATGTCCCTCTGTAGGCCCAGCTCCTCGTGGAGGCGTTGGCTGTGTAGACCTGTGTGTGTGTCCCCGGCGGCTCACCTTTCTCTTTCTGTCTTCCAGTGACCTATGGCATGATGAGCTCCCACGTGTACTACTACACCCGGACGATGTCACAGCTCTTCCTAGACACCCCCGTGTCCAAAACGGAGGCGACTAACTTTAAAACTCTGTCTTCAACAGAGGACTTCTGGAAGGTATTTGCACAAAAGCCCATGGTTGTCCTGCAGAATGGTGCATTTGGTATCATAAGCTGAATTCAACAATACATTCAGGGTCTGCTGTGAATTTACCACTGTGTGTGGTGCTACAAACTGTACTGAACTGTTGGAAGCTACGACTCAAAGGGGGTAAAGTTTCATTTACTGAGACCCTTATGGGTCAGGTACTATACCATGCTGGGCAGTTCATGCCTTACCCTGTCCAATCCCCATGGGGACCTTACAGGCCAAGTGCTAATACTGCACTCCGTTTGTGAATGAGGCACACGAGCCTGGCACGCTCAGCTGTGCAAGGTCAGTAGCCAGCAATACGAGAGATAGATTTCTCCTGGTATGACAGCCAGTGGTTCATTCTTATTTATTATACAGACGTCCATTATTTACTGTCGACTTCACTTTGTTTTCTGGGACACCTTTTTGTGTTTTGTGTCTTGGTTGACAAGGGCCTGTGTTCCCACCTCCCAGAAGGGCACCCTCTTTCACAGATGTATTGATAGAAAAGTGGGCCCAGCCCCTTCTCTGCTTGTCACAAATGCCAGTGTCGCAGAGTGTGAGCAGTGACAGATACCAAGGGACAAATACTCTATGGCGCTTGGAATCAAAGAAAATAAGAAGGGAAATGGGAAAAGAAATGATTGTTTCTCCCTGGGAGACAGTTTGCAAAATTCTTACTAAACCCTACGGTCAGAGCTATGGATTTTCCGTGCTGAGAAAGCGGAGTCATGGGAACCTGTGAATGTTTAACAGCACTTGGCCTCCAAGGTCACATTCCTTACTCCTGACCTTTCTCACCGTGCCAGGCTGAGCCCATCCGCTCAGGACGACACCCTGAGTGGTGGCCGGCTCTGTCCTCCCAAGACGCAGAGCACATTGTACAGAGTAACAGGAGACTCCTCGCCCACTACAGCACCCTAATAACTGCTGTACTCTGAAGAGACAGGGAGGGAGGAACGTTCCCGGGGTAGACAGAGCCCAGATGGCAGGCTGGTGTCCATACCCACCTTTTCTCTGCAGTTGATTCAGAACCGGGCTTGTGTGGGACGCTGTTTTCATAAGGAAAGGTGAGCTTAACGGTGGGTGTGGATTGATACAACGCCCGCACCCCACTGCCTTTAGTCCCAGGAGGGAAATCAGAGTTGCCCTGCTCGAGTGTCCGCCCTGTTCCAGGTGCCCTGACCACACAGCACATGGATCCTCCCTCCAGATGTGGGAACATGTGTGGAGAGGATCCTACTGCAGGCCGCACGGCTGGCAAAGGAGAGAGTAAGATCCATGCCCGGATCTCCGAAAACAAAGCCCACTCTCCCAGCTCCGTCACAGTGCCAGCATTGGTCATACCGTGTTTCCAGGGAGTTTCGAGCGGGATGTCCTCAGAGCTTGTGCCTTTCCCCAGTGCTTCCTTTGCTTGCAGTTCACAGAGGGCCCCTTGCTGGATGGACTGTACTGGAAGGCGGAGCCCAGCACCCACTCCGGAGCAGACAACCGCAGTTTTATTTTCTACGAGAACCTGCTGCTAGGGGTCCCGCGCATCAGGCAGCTCAAAGTCAGAAACGGATCCTGTTCCATCCCTCTGGACCTTAGAGATGAGATTAAAGAGTGCTATGACGTCTACTCGGTCAGCAGTGAAGACAGGGCCCCCTTTGGGCCCCGAAACGGAACCGCGTAAGTGTCTGTGACTGCCTGCCTTAGCGGAGACTCCTGGGCAGGGACCTCAGTGCTGGCGTGGAAGCTTGGGCCAAACTGACCTTCACCATCTCCGGGCCTCTGTACTCTCAGGTGTCCTTTAGTGTCTGTACCTGTATTTTCAAAGGGCTCAGTCGTTGGCTGTGTGCCCCCCACAGGACGTTATATGATCCTTTAAATGCTTCATTTAGATGCTTGGGCCCTGTTCTCATAAAATCATCTATTAAGTTTCCTCAGTAGGAAATTTTCTGGTACAGAAAGCTTTTTAGGGGTGTTTCAAATAGATTTTTATTTAAAAAGCAGTGATTTAAAGTGTAATTATTCTTATTCACATAATAACAACACCTGTGTACACCCGTGTGGGGTCCAGTACAGTAACCGGAAACCTGTGTGCCATGTCTGCCGATCAAGTCAGGCTGGGTAGCATTTCCATCCACGTAAACCATTATCGCTTCTCACGTTGGGGCCTTCGGCCTCTCCTGGTCAGTGCAAGATAGGTCGTAAACTTCGGAATCCGTTGCCACTGTCTGCGCGGGGACAGGGCCCCATCTCCTCCCACTCGGCTGTGTCCTGGCCCTCGTCTGACTTTTCCAGTCACCTCCCCCCAGTAGCTGTCCTAGACCCTAGTGGGGATTCTTCTCCCTTTGGTGCGAAGTGTTTTAGTGTTTCAGGTTCTGCTGGTGAGAACACGCAGCATTCGCCCTCTGTGCCTGGCGTTTCTCACTTAGGACGTGTTCCCCAGGGCGGTCGGCTCTGATGCAGGTCTCCGTTCTGTTGTTGAGTAACAGCGTCCTCTGTGGACACGTATCCGGTGTGCCGGGCCTGAGAGGGTAGCTCCGAGTAGAGGGCTCGCCCAGCATGTCTGAGCCCCAGGTTCCATCTCCAGCGCCATAAAGAAAGAAAGAAATGGACAGCACTTGTGCTCATGGTTTAAAGCCCGCCCTTCTCAGATGTGTTTATTCCGCTTACATGAGTGCGTGTCCTCCTTTGCAGGGTCTTCGGTGTACTTCGTTCCCTACTCTCAAACACTCGGGATGGTAAGGGGGGACAGTTACTCGTAAGATTATCGCAGTCATTCCATAGAAGCGGGGCAGCCTCAGGGTGCCTCCTTGGGGTGCCGCCCCACGATGCGTCCCTGGGGCAGAGCTGTCTTTCGCACCCTGCTGAGCTCATTCTTCGGGTCCTCTCCATGCATCTCTTGGGAACCAGGGCACCCGCAACCCCAGGTGTGAGTTAGCAGGGGCAGACACTTGGACAGTCGTGTGCTCTGTCTGCCTCTCAGTGTCCACTCTGAATCACCTCAGACGGCCGCTTTTCCCCATTGTGGAAGGGATTATCATTCTCATGTTCCTTTTTTTAGCTCCTGCAGAGCATAAACACACCCCTAATCTCTGGTTCCTTCTTCGATACTGTGTTTTATTTCATGTCCTTTGTTCAGAGCCGCGACTCCCTGCCCCATTGCTGTTTATACACATACCGTCCTGTCCTCCCTCACAGAACATCTCTGAGAGGGGTGCTGTCTCCACTGCATATGAAAAACAGGCCACACGGCGAGGAGCTGGGTGGAAGTGTCCCTCTTTCTGGTAGGACTTGCCCAGGGAAGACAACAGGAGAACTCAGGCTGATGGCTCAGCTCCACGGCCGCAGCCCCGCCGCAGGTCCTCACCTCCACCCTCACAGGCTTTGAGACCAACTTGACCTCACTAAGCCTCAGGGCCTCACACCTAAACTGGAGCCGATGACCCTCTGGGAATCAGTCAGAACCTCCTCGCCAGCTCGATAAGGCTCCTTACAGACTTCCTGCAGCCAGCTGCTCTCTGTAGTGGCCCCAAGGGCTCCCGTGATGTTACGTTTCTGTTTTTGTCTCGTAGTTGGACCTACACCAGTGAAAAGGACTTGAACGGGAGCACCCACTGGGGGCTGATCGCAGCATACAGTGGCGCAGGCTATTACCTGGATCTGTCGAGGACCAGAGAGGAAACAGCCGCCCAGCTTGCTGGCCTCAGGAAGAATGTCTGGCTGGACCGAGGAACCAGGGCAGCTTTCATTGACTTTTCCGTGTACAATGCCAACGTGAACCTGTTCTGCGTGGTCAGGTGCGTCCGCGGGCTCAAGTGCCTCCCGGAGCCAGGCACTCATCTGTGTCCTGTTGTGTAGAAGCCTTGCCTGCAGCTGGCTACGTGAGGTGCAGGGATCTGGGCGACAGAAGGGAGGGCGAGTACTGCAGGCTTAGGGGGATAAGGACACCTGGGGAAGGGACTTAGGGTCCTAGAGTATTATGACTTAGAAGACACTGCTGAGTCTGCTCCATGTTCATCGCAAGGAGGGAAATATTCAGAAAAACCCGGAGGTTTCTCCCATCTATCGCAGCTGTTGTAAGGCTGATCAGAGCTCTGTGCACCTTCCCAGTCCCCTGCGATCAACCTTACTCCTTTCCCCGAGGTTGCTGCTCCCAGATGACGCCCATGCCGTTGGGACACCCGGGTCCCTGCCGTGCTTGACACACACCAGGGGCGCGTGAAGTCCTTCCTGCAGCCCTGTGAGGTTGTGTTACAACCACTGTGGGAGATGCTGAGGATACTGATGGTGACTTCCTGCCTCGCCTGGGAGCTTTCACTCATACATTCATTCATTCCTTCATTCGTGGATGCCTGATAGGTGCCCAGGCTTTGTCCTAGGCTCTGAGGACACATCTCAGAGCAAAGAAAAGTGTCCCTCCCCTTGCAGAGCCTACATTCAGTAAACAGTAAACAAAAGGGAGAAACAAATCACATAGGACTTTAGATGAAAATTTCTCTTCTGAAAAAAGTGAGAGTAGAGTAAGGCAGGGGTATCTGGACTTTACCCTGTATGGCATGTGGGCAACACCTACGTGTCACCCACAAGGAGTGTGCTTCATTTCCACTCAGAATAGGGGTATGTCCTGGCGGTGTCTATAGTTTATCCTCACTTTTGGCTAAATTTACCTCTGCTGTGGTGGCCAGTTGGATTTTCCTAGTCCTTGTAGAGGATGATATCCAATTAAAGCAAGTTCTCGTTATTATTAGAAATGCATGGAAACCTGTTGCAGTTATCCTTGAGCCTTTCCTGGTGACGGCCATGAGGCTGTGTGTCCCGTATGTCCTTGCGTTCCTCCCCGGACTTCAGGGTGATCATTGCCAAGCGCGTCACTCTGTCTCTCTACACTGTTCGGCAAGTTTCTGGACATGGCTGACAAGTGCAAGGCCAGACTTGGCCAGTGAGCGGTGTGACCTGACTCACCGAGGCCACCTGCTGCCCTTCGGGTTCACCCCGAGGGTGTCACAAGGCCCCTTGCTCTCAGTGCTGCTCTCCTGAGGGTTTGGTTCTCGCCACTACTCTCCAGGAGAGAAAGGAGAGAAAGAAGAGGCGCTGTCATTCAGCGCAGCCCCCAGCGGGCGTGGTGGGAGCAGCACGGGTCCTCACGCTCAGTCCGAGGTGTGGCCACCGAGCACAGGGGGCAGAGCGATGCCACGGGCTGACTCAGGGCTTCCCAGACTGTAAAGTTACAGAGCCACACATGCTGTTTCGGTTTGGTAAGAAGGTGGCCCCACGGAGGGCCTCGTGTAAGTTTCTCATCTTAGTGCGACACCTGAAAAAGGAAATCCGGCAAGAAACATCTTCACTTCCGGTACAGTAAAGCACTGAAGGTCAGGCCCATCGGTGACTGGGAACGTACACGGCACTGTTGCAGACTGGGCATCACTGGGGACCTGTGGGTGCTGGGGCTCTGGGAAGGAGAGAGAAGGCACGCCGGAGGCAGACTGTTCGGGATGAACTAGGTGCTCCTGAATGGGTGAATGAATGAATGAGACTGAGCTCTCAGAAGTAGATATTCCAAAGCAGATAACGATATCAACCAGATCATGCGCGTTTTGAGTGCCTTTCTTATATTCTTTGTGTTTCCTGGTAGAGTGACTTGCACCCAGTAGAAGTCCTAGAATGGCAGAGTGGCTGATTTTTACATATACAGATGGTGTACAGTGTCTGGAACAGGACAGATACCCAAGGAGTAAAAGAAGCCTGAGGAAGAAGGAATCCTTTGGGTTGGGTGGTCTCGGGAAGCACAGGATTCTCAAGTGTGGAGGGATTGGCCATGGTAAAAATAATTCAGCACTAGCAGGAGGTGACTTGTCGCCATCCCATGGCCTTACGCTGCAGGGACAGAGTGGATGGGCTGCCTCGCCTGACCTCGTCCACCTGTCCACGCTGTTTCTCCTGTTCTTATTGCAATGCAGGTTGTTGGTTGAACTCCCAGCAACAGGAGGCGTGGTTACCTCTTGGCAGTTTCAGCCCGTGAAGCTGATCCGCTACGTCACACCTTTTGATTTCTTCTTGGCGGCCTGTGAGATTCTCTTTTGTTTCTTTATCCTGTACTATGCCGTGGAAGAGATACTGGAAATTCGCATTCACAAACTGCGCTACTTCAGAAGTTTCTGGAATTGTCTGGATGTGGTGATCGTTTTGGTAGGTTGGAGAACAATGGCAAATTCCCAGCTCCGTTCTAAATGTGTGTTAATTACAGCCTTTAACCTGCTCAGCACTGTGCATCTGGATATCCCAGAAAGTCTAGAAGGCCCCGTCCCATACATCAGTGTCTGTGTTACAAATTTTTTTTCAGGTGCATGAGAAGCCTTTCTGACTGTGAAGTGGACCGGCTTTTGTACTAAGCTCTACCACACTAATCACCAGGATTACTCAGTAATTCATAGTCGTATTTGGTGTGCCCTCTGAGATACGGGGGAAATAGTTTCTTATTTTGGGATTTTGATAGTTTTCTTCAGCTGCTAGTAAAAATTAATTTATATTTTCCTGTACATGGGTGAAGTTATGACAAGAAGAAACACCCTAAGTGGAAAACCGCAGTCTAAAATTTCCTACAAACAGAAATAAAATTTGAGATGTACCTATCACTGGGCTCTGTGTAAGGTGTAAGAAATCATAAGGCAGAGTTATATATGCAGGACTGGGCTGAGGTCTGGACGCCGTCTCAGGCAGGGCTAATGAAGTGTCCGTGGCCATCAGCCCTGAGGAGACAGAGGAGAGGGACGGTGACGGGTGCAGGACACCCGCCAGAGCCCAGCCCCTGCGGACCCAGACCCTGCATGGCAGCAGCGTACGATGGCTCACGTGGAGCTTTCAGTCCAGTGGAATGGACGGCGCATGGGGGCTGGCACCTCCGCGGGCCTACTGTGCGTCTTGCGCCCAGAGCAGCTGTGAAAAGAGGTGTAGTCGTGAGTGAAGGCAGAAGCTCGCATGCCCCCGCGGCCCCCCCGAGCCCCTCTGCCTGTCACTCCTTGCCTCTGGAGTGCTCCCTTATAATGGGTGCAGCATGTCTCACGCTTTGATTTGTCACGTTCCGCCAACTCCGGGTCCTGCAAGTGTTGAGGAAACTAAACCGGTCATTTTAAGGTAAGTTATTTCTGAAGCACTGTAGTGAGATACGGCTCTTTGCCTTCCAGCTTTCGGGGACAGCGATTGGAATTAACATCTACCAAACGTCAAGTGTGGAGGGGCTCCTCCACTTTCTACAGGACCAAAACACTTTCCCCAACTTTGAGCACCTGGCATCCTGGCAAATGCAGTTCAACAGTATCGCTGCTGTCACCGTGTTTTTTGTCTGGATTAAGGTAATTTATAGATTTTGTCTTCAGGGTTGTTGATATTGTTTCTTTCTTTGCGTTAATTTGAGCCACACAGAGGACCTGAAGTTGCCTTGAAGCTGGAGCTGCGCCATCATCTACACGAGGACACCAGTGTGGGCCGCCCCACCTGCCTCACTGGGGAGGAGACTGCTTTTCTGCTTCCCGGACTCCTGCAGGGTCTGTCCCTGTGGGTTTCCGTTAACACATGGTCCCTCAGCCTGGGCTCAGAGGGCCCTGCTCAGGAGTGAGCAGGGTGCAAGAGGAACTCAGAGAAAGGGGGGATCTTGGGGTTGAGGGAAGGGAGAGGGGCTGCACCCGGAAATGCTCACTGGGAGGACAGCCTCTTTGCCAGAATTGAGGCTGGACAGTCCCTGGAGGAGTCCCTTCCTGTCTCACTCCCCTCCTTCCTCAGATGTGATGTGCAGTCCCGTTGTGGGAAGGGTCGGGCGTTTGGTGCCTGGTACGCCTCCGGTGTGGAGTGCAGGAGTCGCAGTAATCCCCAGGCAGCTGTCTGCCTGCCACCAGCTCACCAGCTCGGGCCATGACCACGTGTGCTACTTGTGTTTAAAGTGAGGGTTACAGACGAGTAGAAATTCCGTCCCTCGGCCCCACAGCCACGTCTTCCGTGCTCAGTGTCGCTGTATTACTACTGGCTGCCGTGTGGGAAATGGAAATAATAGAGCCTTTCCGTCCTCGCAGGAGTTCCCTGCGCAGCTCTTCTGGAAGGTTCTCCTGTGGCTCTGTGTCTTCCTGCGGTGGCATTTGCACCCAGAAAGCTTGAGCTTCCCCCAAGGGCACGTCCTTTCCTCCTCACGTCTCTGGGGCTGTTTGTCCAGTCACCTGCTTGTTCAGAAGAAGCCCACACTGCACGCCAAGCCTCTGTCATAAAACAGGACGAGTAGGTTCTCGGATGAACAGGAACTGTATCGGTAACCCTCAGAAGAATTTCACTGTAGTCAGGACAGTTTCTAGGTGACCATGAAGTAAAACTGCATAGTGATTCCCTCCCATCTTGTGCCTCACGCTGTGGTGTCTTATTCATTGCTTCCCTTCCCAAATTCCACCTTTGGGTTCTTTAGGCAGGGTCCTGGCTCCACCTCTGACCCCCACTTCTCCCACCAAGGCCCCCCCAGAGTCCCAGGTCATCCTGGTCTGTCCCGAGCAGGGATCAGGGTGGCTTTGTGCAGGGACGGCCGGGCTGGGTCCTCGCTCTCAGCAACACTGACCGCTGGGGATAAAACTGCAGTGTTGGGGTGGATGTGGGGATCCAGGGCAGTCGCGTACAGCCGTCCCTGCCTGAGTGCTGCGTGATAAACAGTGGTTACTAAGTCACAATAATACCTCCTGATGTTTCTATTCGGGATTTTTTCCCTTTATTTTGATTCTGTTTTGGGGAAGTGGGGAATACCACTAATCGTTTTCATTATAATCCAGCCTGATTTCACTATATTTTAATCATCCTGTCACTGTGAGCAAGGCTGGGCAGAAGCCTACCCTCTCCCTGCTGTGAGCTCAGCACTCACTTTTTGAGTGCAAGGAAAGAAGTTGCTGGGAAGTTGGGGGAGGCGCTCGTTTCTCTTTTTTTCTTTATTGTGAGACTTTCACCATTTTAAAGAATCTAGTTCAGTGGCGTGAGGGACAGTCGCAGTGGTGCAGCCATCCCCATTAGGGGTACCACAGCGTTCTCAGAGCCCTAAACGTGAGGCATCTTCTCCCTTTAGCACTCAGTCCCGCCCCCACTCCTGCCCCAGCCCCTGGTAGCCTCTGCTTCACTTTTGGGCTCTGAATTGGGCCCTCTAAGTGCCTCACCTGAGTGGGAATATTTCCTTCTCGGGTCACACTTATCTCCCCTGGCTTAACGTCTGCAGGGTTCACGCGGCAGCCTCTGTCTGATGCCGTTCCTCCTCCAAGTGGAGTAGCGCCGCAGGGTGCGCGTCACCTGGTGTCCTCTCACCTGGGCCACCTCCCTCTTTTGCAGCTCTTCAAATTCATCAGCTTTAACAGGACCATGAGCCAGCTGTCCACAACCATGTCTCGGTGTGCCAAGGACCTCTTCGGCTTCGCCCTCATGTTCTTCATTATTTTCCTGGCGTACGCCCAGTTGGCGTACCTTGTCTTCGGCACTCAGGTGGATGACTTCAGTACCTTCCAAGAATGTATGTAAGTATTTATGAAATTAAGAAGAAAATGTCATCAGAGATGGCAATGCCCTCTCAAGGATAAAGACATTTTCTCGGTTGCTGTTTGACCAGCAAGCGTTCAAAACAGTTACTTAAAATAGAAATGAATTACTTTTCCTGGAAACAGTGACCCACAAAGGCAAAGCATAGAATACAGTGTGAAATACTGACGCTTAGGACGGCAGCCCTCAAGGAGTGATAGAACGGTCAAAGAAACCGGCGTGTTCCAAAGACTGGGGTCTCAGCACACAGCGCAGACGGGAGTTCTAGGGGCTCTGGGGCGCCATTTGCAAATATTGTCATTCCTGTTGAATATGCTCGCCCTGTATTTTGAACTTCAAGTTATTTTATAAGAAAAAAGGTACTTCTAATATTGTAGGAGAAACTTAGTACAATACAGGAATTTTTAGGTTTTTTCCAGAGTTCTCAAATATGCTAAGCCAAATCAGGGAGCGGCTCAGGCCTGGGACAATCGTCCAGTGTGCGTGAGGCCGTGTTTGGTCGCTGCACTGCCAATAAATACACAGATGCTGTTACCAGTGTCCGGGCCATTTACAGGGAGTTAGTAGTTAGAAAAGGAGAGGAAGCTCGTGGCAGTGGGGATCCCTGATTCACCCTCCTGTTGATAAAAGTCAGAATGGAAGTGAGTTTTCTAAGACCCAAAACAGGCAGCAGGCAGCCACGTAGACCTCACTTTGAGTGACTCCAGTGTATTGGATCTTTGAAGACGTAGAATTCTGCCGGTCCTTTAGAAATCATCTCTTTTTAGAGTTACCACATTTTACCCAGAGTAAATATGGATTCCTAGAGCCATTTGCAGCATTAATCATCTAATAATAATTATAGTTAATATTAACCAAGCGGAAACATATGTCCCATGAAAGCAATGTCTTAATACCCTAGAATGCTTCCGTTGTTGATATAAGTAGCAAGACTCTTCCAAGCAGATCCACACCTGCCAAAAAGCTCCAAAGCTGTGAAATCAACCTAAGAAATGTTGCATCAACCGTTGGACATTGTTTGGTTTTGTACTGTGGTGTTTTGTTTTGTTTTGTTTTCATAGCTTCACTCAATTCCGTATCATTTTGGGCGATGTCAACTTCGCAGAGATTGAGGAAGCTAATCGAGTTTTGGGACCACTTTATTTCACTACCTTTGTGTTCTTTATGTTCTTCATTCTTTTGGTATGTACATTTTTGTTTATAATGGGGAGATTCCACTTCATGGTCACAAATCACCACCTTCTCTTTTGTCTCACATTCCATTTCAAGTAAAGACTCAAGGAATAGGAAAAAATGTTTATATTAGAAAACTTACTTTATGCTTATTGATTCACAGTTTTAAGCCTTTATCTTTTCATGGAGGTAGTTTATAGATAGATGATAGATACACAGATAGATAGATAGATATCTCAAAGAAAATTAGAACAAATTTATCAGTTACCCAGAGAGTACTTTGCCTCAGTATAGAATATGCTGACATGCTTTTCTAATATAAATGTCATCACTTTCATTTTCACCTGCTCTCCTGACTTTTCATTTGTCTCTCTTTTTCTTTTAAACAAAAATAGGAACTGACCAAAGACCCAGGATATTAAGAGTAGTATTTGAATGAATTCTTCCCTATAAAGATTAGGACATTCTAACTTACTCACATTTCACAGTATGTAAGCACCTAGAGACTGCCTACAAGGGGCTGGGGATTTAGCTCAGGGACACATCGCCTGCCTGGCAAGCACAAGGTCGTGAGTTTGGTTACCGGTACCAGAAAAAAAAAACAAAAAATAAAAAAAATAAAGAGACTGCCTGCAAAGAATATTTAAATATTAGGTTTAAACCAATTTAACAGTGAATGGGAATTCCTTTAAAAATTATTTTCAAAAATAGTTTTTATTCTGTTAATTTAACACACGTTAACATTTATGTTTCTGCCTGAAGTTAATTAAGGTTTTTTGAAAGGTGTTTGTTTGCCTACACCTCCACTGTTAATGAGGTTAAATTGGTTTAATTTAAGTAGTGCGTGTATTTCATCTGCACCCTAGCACATAAGACTTTCCTTACATAAAGAATCATCTCAATAAAATAACAAAAGTAGTTCCGTTTTAGTAAAATTTGTACAGATCTTTTGTAAGAGGCTTCAATTCAGTTGGAAGTTTCCAGACAAGCCCAGGTATTCCTGATTGGCAGATGTGCTCACTGATTGAACAGGAGACTAGGGGAACTGCAGGAGCATGAAGGGCCACTCTTACCTTACTGCATGCGTGCTCTGTAGCTAGGATTTAGATTTAATCCTCTTCCTATGTTATAGCAAAGTTCCTAAGGCCATGTTGGCGAACCTTTTAGAGCTTTCAATGATAAAAACAGACTACTGTAGCACGCATGCCATAAGTTCGCCACCACTGTCCTAAGGGAAGAATAAGCCTTTGTTACTGTCTAACACAGGAACTACTTTTGATGCTGGGGCACCTGAATTTCTAAGAACCAAAGACCAGGAATGGAGAGTCCTGTAATGACCCTTCCATTGACCTTAAGCCCCCCGGTTTTCTCAGAGTGTCATCTGCCAAGTGAGGGACACGATTGTGGAGCTTTAAAGGACTCAGATCCATGCGCTTTACTGGCAGCACATTCTAGGTTATTTGATCATTTTATCAGATCAATCACCAGAACAGGAAAAGGAGCCCTTAGGTTTTATTTTTATCCTACAAGTAATTTCCATTATATTGCAAAAAGGAATTGTTTTTCTCACACCCCCAGATGGATGGATGGATGGATGGATGGATGGATGGGTGGATGGGTGGATGAATGGATGGGTAGATAGATAGATGATAGATAGATAGATAGATAGATAGATAAATAGAAAGAAAGACAGGTGACTAGATGGAGAGGAGGCAGCTCTGAACACAGAGTTGTCTCTGAAGGAGGTGAGGAGCTGAGGGTAGACTTGCCACTTCCTGAGCTGCCTGCCTGGTATTAATTTAGTTCTTCTGTTGAGAAAGAAGAACTAGGTTAACTAGGAAAGAAGAACTAAGTGGTTTACACCACTTTACACAGTGGTGTAAAGTGACTCAGCTGAGCCAGGATCCCCCATCAACCCCCACACAGGGAAGACCCGTAGGACATGGGCCCATCTGATGAGAGGACCCTTTGACAGCCAGGATGGGGAGGAGGCAGGTGGCATTCCTCTCCTCACACTTTCAGGAGCCTTTCTCTGCCACTGTCTGCTTTCCTCAGTCTCCTCAGAGTGCTTTGACCCGTTTCACCTAAGACACTTGCAGGCATCCATCAGCCGTTGGGAAGCAAAAACAGAACGTGAAATGCCTGGGTTGGAGGGCGCAGGTGGGAGATGTTACTAAGACTGGCATTTTCCACTCTTGGAATAGAGCACATAGCCAGGAACTCGGGTATTCTCTATGTTGAGTTCTCAAAATGGCCTTAGAGGATAGAGACGTAGCAGCCTACTAATATAAGAGAGCCTCACTTGTGCATCCATCGATCACTTAATAAACATTTATAGAGCAGCTGTATTCCTATATTTATGATGTTATATATAAGAAGTCACAGCGCTTACTATGCAGCAACTATACAGGGCAGTGTGCTAGATCCTGAGGATACCATGGTAAGGAAAACAGCCTGGCCTGACCCCAGTGAGGACTGCATGGACTTGTGGGGGAAGCTGGCATAATGAAATACACCGTCCTATAGCTACAAACCTGTTATGCCCTGAAGACTCAGGAGCGTTTGAAAGAGAGACTTGCACTCCTGGGCGCAGTACTTCGGGAAAGTCTGTTGGAAACACATTGGTGATAGACGCATTATCACTGGCAAGGAAATGGTCAGAAGGGGAGTGGCCAGGCTTTCACAGAACAGTAGCTGTAAGGATGAAGCACCCACAGTGTGTCAGGGCCAGTCTATTAGTTCTCCCAGTTTATAAATGCAAAGCAAAACAAATCCTGTACATGAACCTTAAAACAGTTGAAGCCAGGCATCACCCACATCTGCAGTCCCAGCACTCAGGATGTAGCTCAGTGCAAGGGCCTTAGGTCCAACCCCTGGTCCTGGAATAAATGAAAATTAAACAGCGTTAGTCTTGGTGTTGTCCAGACTGAAACCCAAGTTTGCTTAACTACAGCATCCTCATCTTTTCACAAAGCTTTCCTTCGCTCTCTTTCTAGCACATTCCTGTTTGCAGAGGACTTTTTCACTTTTTGAGACATGATCTGTAAATCTCAAGTCTGAGTACTGAACACAATTTAGAGTAAGCACAGGATTGTCCCTTGTCTGTGTCGACCGTTGAAATTTGAACAGCTTTTCTAAACAGCTTACAACATCACTTAGATGAAATTTTTTAAATGAACAGAGAATAAGGGAAAATCTTAAAATGATCCCACCATCCATAAGTAAATACACTAGCACTTTATTTTATTGTCTCTTTTTGAAAAATATAGTATACGGCTCTGTAGGTAAGGATATAGTATTTCCTTTGGCATGAAAATAGTATTTTCAAATAATATGGTAGCAAAACTATTCATCTGTAAAGTATTCAAACTGCAGAGAAAAGGTCACTAAAAAGGCGTATGTTAACTGTTAGTGATATATTTGGGTTTTTTCTTTACTCTCTCCCTTCCTTTGATTTACAAACAGAATATGTTTTTGGCCATCATCAATGATACTTACTCGGAAGTGAAATCTGATCTGGCCCAGCAGAAAGCTGAAATGGAACTCTCAGATCTTATCAGAAAGGTAGGCTAATCTCTATTGCTTAGAAGATTTTTTACTTCCTACATAAAATGAGTACTACATCATCTGACTTTCCAAGACACTGTTGATCCACTGACATTGTTTAAAAAAAAATAATAGATTACTGTATTTCAAGAATAATTTAAAAACTTTCTGCTTGGAGGCTTGGTGGATATGTTGGTAGCTGCGACCTAAATTCCAGAAGCATTTTATGCCCTGAGTCCAGTTCTAAATAAGCCTGTGACTCGAAATCTGAGTGCCTTTATATGTTTTGAAGCTTCCTCTATTGACCTGAGCTCAGAATAAAAAAGGGAAGATTATATAAAGATGCATCTAGCCTGCCTACCTCCTTTAAATTTACCACTTTAAAAACTTTTAGAGGAAAATACAGTTATGTACTCAGACCTTTTAGGGCAGTTATAAAATAGCTGGAGGAGAAGATCTCTGAATGAAAGCCACAGCCTGAGAACATCTCCTTTCTCCCTTCTCAGGAGGTGTTTGTTGAACAGAGGGCAGGACCGGCCTGGGGTGGCTTTGATCTTCTCAGTGTAGCTTCACTATTTGGTTTAGTGTAAAAGCTACACAACAGGAAGGAACTTAAGGTACACAGTTTGCTCCCAGCATCATGCTGCTGAGACCCAGTGGCTCCTTCACGCTGCTTTCGATCGGCACCAGACTCCTGCCTATGTTGTCTATGTGTCATTTGTAGGGAAAACGTCAGCTTACAGCAGAGCCCCTTGGATGACACTTAAGTCACATGATCTTGAGTGCTGCACCACCGTGGACTACATTTTAGCCAAGCTCCACTGTGTATGTCTCACTCCACACAATATGGTTTTGAGATACACCCAGCTCAGTTACACTGGCTTTGTTTCTCAGTACCAGGCCTTCATAACATGGTTCACATTCGAGCTCTAAGAGCAGATTACCTGTAAGACTACACAGTACAAACTCCACTGCAGGCTCTTCTGTCTACACATCATCCATCACCTAGGTGACGGATAGCCGCTGCATTCAGCGACCACTGTGACACTGATTGCAGTCCGTGTTGACTGTTGCCTGGATGTGCTTAGTTCACGCCCAGCGTGTAGTTCGCCCAGAGTGTAGTTTTGCTTCCTGTAGGCCAGTAGTAAGCCTTCATGACATTTTACACAAATCATAATTGAAAAACAGAATTGGCCAGCAAAGCAAAGAGACAAATGTGATACTGGAAGTGAAATCAAACCAAATGACATGGATTTACAGAAGAAATGGCTAGCTGTGGGAATGTTGACACTGCCAGCATTCAGAGGCCCAGGAAAACAGAACTTAAGTGAGGGCTAATTTATCAACGTAAATGAGGACGGCACTTGTGATAAAAAAAAAGGTGATGTCCTGCAGGAAGTGACACCACCCAAATCCTACATCTTAAAAAGACACTTACTAGAGAAATTTAATAGTAATTAATGTACAAAAGAAAAATGACTCAGGCTAATCCATAATGGGAAAGAATGTCGGCATTCCTAACACGTGGTAAATACACACAGTTCACACGCCTGGTAGATGATGAAATAGCAGGAGTAGGAAAGAAGCACTGCTGTGCTACTCTGGATACATTTTCCACAGAGAAAGGACTTTGAATGTTTGTAATGTTTTAAATTTCTGTGCACTAAAAAAATTAGATTTATTACTGTTTCTCTCTAAATCTATAACTGATACCAAGCGAGTTTTTTTAATGTTTTGATTAAAAGTTTTGAAGGTCATGGGACAGTTGAAATTTTTTCTGTTGATTTTTCAGATCACTTTGAACAAGTTCAGCGTTTACAGTCCTTCACTGTAGTTTGCTAGTGAAAGACCCTCACCTGTGTTTCCCTGGGCTGATTTTACATACTTTATATAAGGCAGTAACAGCTATTAGGTATTATAAAATTAAATGGTCAAACACGGTGCAGTGATATACCCCAGTAGATCTAGCTACTCAGGATGCTGAAGCAGGAGAGTCACAAGCCAAGGAGTGCAAGGTCAGCCTAAGCAACATGGTGAGACCTAGTCTCTCAATACTGCAATGATAAACAGACAATAAATAAGCAGTCCATGACTCAGGTTTTTGGTATTCTTGTGAAATATATATTCCTGTATTCTAGGGAAGACCCATATGGAATACGTAGTGATTTTTCACTTCTGTTACTTAAATTTTTTCCACCTGTGAGGAAAAGGGCCTTAGTTCTTGATTTATTGAAAAACCCTAAGTCTTTCCATATAACTCTGTGTTTTCATTATTCATTCATTAACAAACATTGTTGAGTGGCCTAGCTCTACCAGCTCCTGGATTTATAAATAAAAGGTAAAGTAAATGCAAAAGGAGAGTAAAGTCAACCAGATGTTTTCCTTTTTCTTTTTCTTTTTTCTTTTTCTTCCTTTTTCCCTTTCCTTCCCTTTTCTCTTCCTTTTCCTGTCTTTTATTTCCTTCCATAACAGGGCTACCATAAAGCCTTGGTCAAACTAAAGCTGAAGAAAAATACCGTGGATGACATTTCAGAGAGTCTGCGGCAAGGGGGAGGCAAGTTAAACTTTGACGAACTTCGCCAAGATCTCAAAGGGTAAGAGTCACACTTCCTGGGATGAGGGAAGTCCCTGCTTTTGAAGATAAATTACCAGTGACAAGAGCATTGCTGGCCCAAGTGCTCATAGATGCTTTCCCTCAGAGGCAGGGATCTTTCTGGAATGTGCTGGAAGATGGGCCCCAGTCGGTGCTTTCTCCCTTGCACCTGCAGTTTGATGTCTCCTATGTTTGGGTTGGAACGCAGACAGGATAAGTTCATCTGTCCCTCTCAATCATTTCAGGAAAGGCCACACTGATGCGGAGATTGAAGCAATATTCACCAAGTATGATCAGGATGGAGACCAGGAACTCACCGAACATGAGCACCAGCAGATGAGAGATGACTTGGAGAAAGAGAGGGTGGGTCTAATTTTGGTGTAGATGATTTCGTTCCATACTCCCCATGGATCAGACCCTACACAGAATGGTGGGCTAGTACATATTTCTCTTTCAAGCTTATTCCAAAATAGTTCTAGTTGTATAATATGAAATAAAATAGTGTGAATGTAAGAAAGTCAAAGTGAAGAGTGAAACAAAACTGGCATGAAAACATGATGAATACCAAGAAAGCGTAGGTCAGTGGTGGTGAACCTGTGGCACAGCTGGCTGGTTATTGCTGAAAACTCGGAAAGGTTAACCATCAGTGCCGTAGATGTACAGCATACACACATTTCCTGCTTGCCCAAGACCTTGGTAATGTGTGTGGGGTCCTATGGGCCTGCTCCTCACCTGACCCCATGTTATTCAGGAAGACCTGGACTTGGACCACAGTTCTCTACCACGACCCATGAGCAGCCGAAGCTTCCCAAGGAGCCTGGATGATTCTGAGGAGGATGATGATGAAGACAGTGGACACAGCTCCAGGAGGAGGGGAAGCATCTCCAGTGGGGTTTCTTATGAGGAGTTTCAAGTGTGAGTATGAAAGAATTGGCAAATTTGGGTTGACCAGAATCCCTATGTGATATAGCAATTGCCCCCATTCCATTCAGTTCACTGTTTTCCATTACCAGTCACCAGCTCTTCTGTGTTACTTTTACTGGTAATTCTTTCTCTTTATAAAAAATAATGCGTTTATTATAAGAAAATTAACAAAGAAAAGCAAAATAAAGTATTAAAGGCTGCCATATTCCTACTAACAATGCTGACTAATATTGTATCTCTTTTTATGTGTATCCATCAATATTTTTATAAGTTTCTATGGTTTCACATACGATCTATCCTGGAAGATGACTTGAAAAAAATGTATATGCTTCTGTTTCTTAGGGAGAACAGATGTTTCATAGGTCCAGTTGTTTTATAATATTGTACAGCTCACCTGTTTTCCTGATGATCTTCTACCTGTTTGTTCTGTCTACTTTGGAAAGTGGGGTATTTAAGTCTCCAACAATTATTATTAAATTATCCATTTATTCCTTCCATTTTGTAAGATTTTACTTTGTGGATGTTGGAACGGGATATAACTCTCTGGTTATATGTCTCTTCCTAATAGATTGATCCCGTTTTTAATTATAAGATGATTCACCGTACCTTTAGTAGAATGTATTCTTTTAAAGTTTTGTCTGATATTACCGTAGCCACTCCAGCCCCACAGTTGCTATTCACATACCATTTGTCATCCTCTCACTTTCAACCTATTTATATCTCTATATGTAACATGTGTCTCATGTAAACAACATATGATTAAGCTTGTCTTTTTATCCCATTTGACAATCTATGCCTTTAGTCTAGATGTTTTTATCCATTTATATTTTTAATTATTTTAATTTTAAAGAGAAAAAAACAAAATAACAATTATGACAAAAATAAAACAACACAAAAACAGTAAAAAGGATACAGGATTTCAAAACAAGATGATAGAAATTGACAGTGGTTGTATTACAGTGGTTATATTATAACAGTGGTTATATTACATATTGTTATCTTCAGCCAAGTTGCTCGGATTACCATACATAAGAATGCAAGATTGGTCAAACAAGTAAAGACAATAAAAAGTAATAAAAAAATTAGAAACAATACAGAGCTTCACTAAACAAGATGGTAGGAATTCAGCCATGGTTATATTGCATATTGTTGTCTTCAAATTAGTTGTTCAGATTACCAGATATAAGCATGCAAAATTGGTCAAGAAAAAAAAATTTAAGCATTAACTGTTCCTTTCAGTAAACAATAGACATCAGCAATACAGTTACCCCAGCTATCCTTGTATATACATATATATTTTTTCTTTTTTATTTTAAAGAGAAAATAACAAACAAAATCACAAAGGCAAAGACATAAACAAAACAATGTAAAAAGAGTAAAAATGATACAGAATTTCAAAACAAGGTGAAAGGAAATTAACAATGGTTGTTATATTATATATTGTTATCTTCAAAGTGGTTACTCAAATAACCAGATATAGGCATGTAAGATTGATCGAACAATTTATATTTAATGTTACTGATTCAAATTTACACCTACAGTATTGCATTTTATTTTCTATATATCTTGTATTTCTTTTTCCTCATCCTCCTTTATGGCTTTTAATAAATATTTCCTGGTGTTCTATTTTAATTCCTTTTTTTTTTTTTTTTTGTAGTTTTTAAGTTATTTTCTTAGTGGTTGCTATAATACTTAGCAAATAGAGTGGCTTATGAGAACTTGTTTCTAATTTCCATTAACTTAATCCAGTGACATATAGAATACTCATTTGTAGTTCTTTTCCTTCTTTCCCTTTTTTGTGCTAGTGAGATAGATGTATTCATCAGTATATGTTGTGAATCCAATATTGCATTGCTCTATTTATCACTGTATAGAGATGATAAATTCTATAATAATGTTTGCTATATTAACATTCTTACCTACCATATCCAACTCTCTTCATGTGTTTCTGAATTCAGGTTTCTGTCTTGAATTCTGTCTGGTGTCATTTCCTTACTCTCATACAATCTGGCTTTTACTTACTTCCATTGGCCAGCTGTTATTAAATACATTACATTTCTAGGGGCTGGGGATTTAGCTCAGCGGCAAAGCGCCTCCCTGGCAAGCGCAAGGTCATGAGTTCGGTTCCCAGTACCGGAGAAAAACCAAAAAAAAAAAAAAAACAAAAAAAAAAAAAAAATACATTACATTTCTGTATGTTATAGACCCAGCAATTGAATTTTGTACCAGTCTTATACAGTTGTTTTTTAAACTAGTAAAAAGAGAAAAAAAGAAATATTGTTTATATTTTATACGTACATGATTATTTGTATTCTCTGTTTTTCATAGATATTTTAATTAGTTTCTGGGGACTTGCTTTCAGCTAAAGATGTTTCTGTAGTATTTCATTTAAAGCTGGTCTGCTAGCAATGAATTCTTCCCATCTAGGGTCATCTGGGCATGTTTGTCTTCACGGCCCCTGGCAAATTCTGGTTTTGAATAGACAGCTGTTAATCTTACTGAGTCCATTCTACATAATGTCAATTTTCTCTCACTCCTTTTAAATAAAGTATTTGTCTTTAAACATTTTCATTTTGTATGTCTTGGCGGGCATTTCAAGTTTACCCTATTTTTAGTTCTACGAGTTTCTTGGATGTATATTTTTCACCAAGTTGTTGAGATTTCCAAATATTATCTCTGCAAATACAATAGTACATTGATTTACAAACTTAATTTGTTTTACAAATTGGGGAGAGATGGCTGTTTGTGTTTGTGTAGGGAAGATGCCATGGCTGTGTTTGTTACTCAGTGCAAGATTGTGAGTGGAAGCAAAATATTCCCAGACACTTTTGTTTGTGAACCAAATTATTTGCAAACAGAAGCATTTATGAACTGAGGTATTACTCTATTTCTTAAATTCCATAGACTTCCTTCTCACTGAAATTTAGTTGATTAATAAATGCTTTTGCACTGGCTATGTACTCTTAAGAAAGTTTCTAGAGCACATCAATGTTTGGATTTTTAAAAATAACTTTACACAGTTATAATTGTTGTACTGAGGAGTTAATCTATTGAACTCTAATGCTGCCATTCTAGATGTCTCCAGTTTATGTTTTAAAGATATTTATATATTTTATTCAAAATAGATCACAAGGGAACATACTGGGTTTTTTGCTTTATTTAATATATGGTGAGCACAATTCTGTCATTATTTCTTGCAGTGTAATTTCTGATGACATCTTAGAATTTCGTTGTGTACATGAACAGTTTCTCTTATTGTTTAATGTAGCAGTCTTTAGTGGTGCACTATTAAAAAGCAACACTCTGGTTCATATTTTTAGTGAAAAATTACATATGTAAAACTGCTTTAGAACATTTTCTAAAAATAAAACTTCTGGCAAAAGTGATGGACATAGATTTTTAAATCCCCAGCTACAATTTGACCGGCAGAAAGATGCTCTAGTTAGCATCGCACCAACATCACAGGATAGTTTATCTTAAGCTTGAGACTGCTTAGCAAGTGTGGCCAGGCTGGGGTGTATCTCAGTGGTAGGACACTTGCTTAGCGTGCTTGCTGACCTGAGTTCCATCCCTATCAGTGCAAAAAGAGATTTTATCATATTGTTTAAGAAAAAACTTTCTAACATTTCTATTCAAAGAAGTAGCGAGGCTGACATGACAGTGACAGGGTCCTTTCCGCTCTAAAATCTGATTTCCCGCAGCCTGGTGAGACGAGTAGACCGCATGGAGCACTCGATTGGCAGCATCGTGTCCAAGATTGATGCCGTGATCGTAAAGCTGGAAATCATGGAACGGGCCAAACTGAAGAGGCGGGAGGTGCTGGGGAGGCTGCTGGACGGGGTGACTGAGGTAGGTGGCTGTCAGCGAGAAAACATCTGACCAAAGCACAAGAGTACTCCATTGATGGTAGGACACGTTGGTGACACTGCCTTCTAGCTGAAGTGCTGAAGAGTAAAATACACAAACAAGAAAGATCACAGACATTCGCAACACAGTTTCCATCCATTTTCACTTTCAGATGTTGTTCCCCTCTGAAACAGAAGCACTGTCTGATTCTATGAAATATCAGGGTAGTTATATTCTGTAATCTTTACCCTAACATGCTTTTCTTCCAAACTGCAGATCATTGATCATCTGGAGATGTGACCACCCTAACCTTCTGAACACAGATGGTCCAGCCTTCCCTAGAGAGTAGAATTTAGTGAGCAATTACTCCAGTGAGTCTGTAAATTGCTATTACAGTGGTACCTCAGTTCACAAGCTAAATTCTTTTCACACCTATGGTTGCAAACCAAACTGGACAAGAACCAAATCAAATTCATTCATTAGGTTTAGTGTTGACCTTATGGGAAAATTTGATTTAGTTGTTGTCCAGTTCAGTTTGGAACCAGAATCATGGAAAGAATTAAGTTCATGAACTGAAGTAGCACTGTATTTGCTGGAACTCCCCAGCCTCACTTAACTATAGATAGATTATTTGTGCCCCAGATTTCCCAAGGCACCTTCTGTATGTACATCACCCTGCCAGTAACACCCTGGTTTCTTTTTCTCTTGTAAGGATGAAAGACTGGGTCGTGACAGTGATATCCACAGGGAACAGATGGAGCAGCTGGTGCGAGAAGAGCTGGAGCGCTGGGAATCAGATGACGCAGCTTCCCAGCTCAGTCATGGTCTAGGCACACCGGCAGGACTCAACGGTCAGCCTCGGCCTAGAAGCACTCGCCCTTCCTCCTCCCAGTCCGCAGATGGCCTGGAAGGTGGAGGTGGAAACAGCAATTCCAACGTCCATGTATAACACTTGTGTCATTGTGTATCACCCAGCAAGTGGGAAGGTGACTATCACCAATTGCCATAGAAAGTTCACCACTTACATGCTCCACCTGCCATATGATGTTGGTCTTTGTGACCAATTATTAATCTTTTGCACTTTAATTTATTGTATATAAACTTTACCCATGGATCAGGACTTTTTTTCATTTTCTCATATAAGAAATCAAGATGTACATACTGAATTGAGGACAAAAAGAAAATTGTTGAAGAGCACCTAGAACGGTATGCTCAGATGCTACCCTACCTAAGTCTGCTCTTTTGACAATGATGTAGCCTTTAAAGCTAGAAAAGAACAGTCATGGGGCTGCTGAGTTCCACTTCTAGCCAGAAAAACAGTGTTGCCATTTCTGTCCAGTATGTGAAGGGAAAGGAGGGTACCTTTTCCACTCAAGTGCCACTAATGAGCTGAATAAATAGCTTTCCTGTAGGAAAGGAATTTTAATTCAGCTACCTTCCTGGGGTGAACTTTCCTAAAACATGAAGTAGAAAAAAAACTCCAAAGCATAGAATGAGTATGTAACCATTACACCAGAATCTGTATGAATGGTTAACATAAATGTTAGGTACTGTGTAATTTTTGTTGTTTTCTCATATCTACTATCTACAGGACTAACAAAATCACTTTCATATTATTTTATCTTTCATTAGAAACAAAATGAGTAACAGGACTGGGGATAAATTACAGGATAAATGATACTTGTAACTAAAACATAAGAGAATTGGAAGGAACCCTAATTTGCTTCCAACTTTTGACATTTTCAGTAATTTGGAAGTACAAAATTACATTAGGTGCTTTCCCTTTGCTAGTACAAAATACTGAACACTTAAAGGAGGAGAGATTTTAATGGTTCACAGTTGTCGAGGGTTCAGTCCATAGTCCACTGGCTCCCAGTAAGGAACGTCATGGTGGAAGACTCTGGTGGAGCAAAGCTGTTCACTTCATTGTGGCCAGGAAGCAGAGCTGGTTGGAAAGATTGCCAGAGAGGAAAGGGATAGAAACAGGTATCATTTATCCTGTAATTTATCCCCAGTGGTTTTACGAACCTTATTTCTAATGAAAAGTGATGCCTTCATGACCAACCCAGTCACATACATAAGTGTGCTTTACTAATCTGCTAGGAGTCTTTATCCACTTAAGTTGACAGTCAGGATTAATAGTGACCAAAATTTGTCCATATATTCTCTTTCCCATGTGTCTCTACCCATCTGCAGCTGAGTTAATGTTACAACTAACCTAGTAGGACCAACTAAGTTTTATGGTATACACTCAACTTTTTAACTCAGTAAATTTGTTCATATTAAGCAAAATTTTGAACACGTTTTAAAATTCATAAAGCTTTAGTAAAACTGAAGTTTTCATTTTATACCAGCTCAGGGATATAGTTCTGAAATATTTTGTGCCCTACATTTAAAAACTCAAATTGATACTATAAATGAAGTTTAAAAGGAGGTTTTTGTACTGAAAATACATCCATTATCACAGCGTGTTTAACCCAACTTGTTTTTGTTAGGAGAATGTCTCGTCAAATTTATGGGGGGGGGGGTCTATTTTGCAATAAAAAAATAAAACTGGTATTTTTCAAAAGTGTTGACTAATGTGACCTTTTGAGAGCTAACAGGAGAAGTAAGAGACAGTACAGTGTTGGTGAGAAATCCTCAACTGGGGAAACCATAGAAGAGAGTCCTGTTTTTTTTTTTGTTTTGTTTTTGTTTTTTGTCTTTTTCCAGTACTGAGAATTGAACTCACAACCTTGCGCTTGCCAGGCAGGTGCTGTGCCACTGAGCTAAATCCTCAGCTCAGAGAGTCCTGTTTTTTTATACTGGGTCTTTAATTCCCAAGTTGCTCGCTCACTGAGTAGAAAGCCTCAGTCTAATTTCCAGTGAAGAGGTGAGTGGACGGGCCTTCCCAGATTGGCTTCTGTAGGAGTGAAGCATCCTGAGATTCTCCAGTGTCACTCTCTAGGACTTCATCTTTATCTTTCATATGCTGCACACGTTTTTTATTCCTAGGTACTGACATATACACTCCAGAAGAATTGGGTGTACGTGTTTGGTGTGTGTGTACCATGTTACTAAGTGTAAACAAGCTTCACTGTGAAGTGCATTCTCCTTGTGTGGTGTCCACGTGTACTGACCATGTGCCATGTATCAATCATGGTCACAAGAAGTCTGTTTATTATGTGTATTATTATTAATGTGTTGTCTTTCATTTCACTTGTAAAATGAATGTTACAGAATTCTTTCCTTGTACCTTTAAATTCTATACATTTATCATCTTCCATCATAGAAAATTCACTCCTCATCACTTCCCCACCATCTTCCCCTCTGCATTGTTACAATAAAGATGTTACATACGCAAGCCTTTCTCAACAATCAAGAATTTCATTAATGTATAATACTGAGCACTTTGCTTTTTAATAAAGGCTTGATGTGATAACAGATGTATGAACTGTCTGTTTCCTATTAGTAAAAGAATAGACTTTAAAAACTGCAAGTTCTGTTCGGGTTGCAGACAGACATCTGCTGGGTGGAGGGCAAAGCAGAACATCGGGGGACTCAGGGCCACCCAACAGGAGGGCGCAGGAGGACTGCAGTTTAAGTGGGTCATCGATGCAAAGTTCCTATTCATGCTCACCTCTCCAGTGCTTCTCTCCCGGCCCCCAGGTACGAGAAACAAAAGCAGTTAAAATAGTGGGTCTTTGCCTTGACCCACACAGCCGGTGGGGACCTGAGAAGGGATGACAGATTAAGAAAAAAACTAGACACATAATAAAGGAAAGCTGGGACCAGGTGGGTCCTGATTTCTCTGATGGAGAGGCAGCGATAACTCAGCATGGCCTGCAGTTTTATTCACACACAGTAAAAAGGGGGAAAAGCATGCAACAGCGCTGAAAGTGGGAGGTCTCAGTGTTTTGCTGAGAACACTGAAAGTGAACCATTCTCAGAGCTGTCTGTGCTATAGTTAACAGGGAGGAACACCAAGGCCCAACACCCACTAGGCTGGCCTTGCTCTAGTCCCAACAGCTTGTTCACATGGCTCACCTCTGTCCCTCTGTTCTCAGGGCTGGCCTTGCCCTAGCCCCGAATGTGTGGTCGATCTCTAGCTCAGCCACTCCCCATAGGCCCTGACCTAGATGCTCCTTCCCTACACCTGGCAATGTCTGACGATGGAGTGCAGGGCAGGGCGCAGTTGATAAAAAGAACTACTTTCTTCTGTTCTTCATGTGTATGGCATTTACTTGTTTTATTTTTAAGTTATCAAGTTAGTTTACTTTCAGTGATGCATTCATCTGTAGCTCTCTACAGAAAGTTTCTAATGGCATGTAGTTGAAGCACATTTCATCAAATTTCTCAGAGTAACTGATTTAAAGCAGGGGTTGGCCCAAAATATTCTGAAAAGTATACACGGAATCAGATCCACGGACAAAGCCATAGACACAGGTATTTACAGCTTTTGGATGAAAATATTAATTCTGGGAGTAGCAACCACATCATTTTGTACGCAAACAACCTCCCTTCTTGGTCACAATGATTTCATTGACTTCCAGTGAGATATTTGTTCTGCAGCAGTGCATGCTATATGACTCTCTCAATGATTTCTCTCTTTGAGACTTTGCTTCTGCAGACTCTGACAAGGGATTCCTGCCCCCCACCCTAGCTGGAACCAAGGGAGGGGAGGGGTGGCATGGAGAGGGCTCGTGCAGACTCCTATTTAAGGTGAGTAAACCAGGGCTGGCCAAGGACGGAAGCAAAACAAGGAACCCCTGAGGATCCTCTGGCACTGCGGAGCTGACCCAGCAGTGCCTCCCAGGTCCTGTTCCCAGGTGCCCCCTCTCCACCCCCACAGCTGGCTCAGCAGCGGCCCATTCCCACTGCAAAGTTTAGGACCAAACCTCGAGTATTTCAGACCAGTAATTGGTTGCTGAGGCAACTGCCCAAGCAGCCTTGGCCATGGCAGCATCATACTTTATTTTCCTTTTAAAGATGCTTAATCTGTCAAAACTGTTATTACATGTGATTCTTTTTGGTAAGAATCATTATGGTTTATGTCCTGTACTCTGAGTAACTAATTTGAAGAATGATACACAGTGTCTTAATGTTATGAAATTTTTTTGATTTAAAAAAGATGCCATGACATTGTTCCTCTCCCTTTCCTCACTGGGAAATTCTGTGCAGTTTGTATTACCTCAAAACACGTCAGTAGCAATTTTTAATTTGAGTTTATATGGTAAGACATAGGGATGGATTTGCAGCTAAAAAAAAAGTGAACGAATCTGTCATAAGCAATCTCACCTAACCCAAGTCACAAATTCTAAATGTAATAAAATCCAATCAGGGCAGTCCTCAATAAACTACAAAAGTGACTCAGATTTTCTTCTAATGTGAGTAGCCATAGGCTGTATGGTTTGCCTGAGAACAATAAGGAAATTGGAGGAACTATAAAACTCAGAAGAACCTATGATTAACCTCAGATGTTCAGATTTTCTGTTTCTCATCTCATCTTTGCTAAGGAAAATGTCAAAACAGAAATATCTAAAGGCCAACCAGGTACCTAACACAGCTCACGACAAAGAACAAATATTTTCTGCCTACACTTTACACTGCCTGTGACCTAGGATCTAAAGAAAAAATGCAAGGACTGGTGGGAGTTTTGTTTATTTTTCTTCACTTTTTCCTGACTTGGCACGGGGCCACCTTGGCTTTGGTTACTTGAGTCACTAGTGGTTTCTTTCTCTTCCCTCCTCTCCAGTCAAGCCAAACCCCTCAATGCTCTGCTCCCTTCTTTGTCCAAAGACTGTATGTCAGCCTTCAGAAGCCTATGCGTTAACATAAAGATGTGTGTGCTGCAAAGCTGGCTCTGGGCAGCATACAGGAGAAACATGAAAGTATTAGTGTTTCTGTCTTCGAAAAGAAAAAGAAAAAGAAAAAAGAGGATAATTGAAAGGATGAGAAAGGCAGAGATTTTTGGGAAACACAGGTATTCACAGATTTAGATACAGAGAAAATGAAGCATGCGTGTGTCTGAAAGACTGAAAAGGGGCCAAGTGAAGAGGAAGAGCAGGAAAAGACAGAAGCACTGGCAGTCACAGAAGCAGCCACAGAACGTGGAAGGCATTCTGGTAATTCAGCAACAGGAAGTCAAGTGGCAGGGCTCAAGGGTGGGCACAGAAGCCACAGGAACCCTTTCTTTTTTTCTTTTTGTGTACCAGGAATCAAACTCAGGACCTTGCACTTGCCAGGCAAGTGCTGTGCCACTGAGCTAGATCCCCAGCCCAGGAATCCTTTGTTAATGATCCCAGCCTTCCTGCCTGCACCTGCCCATGCCCCCAAAGGATGGGCGGCCCTTTGATAGACTCTAGATGAGAGAAGTGATTCCTTTCTGTACAATCATCCCCAGTGCACACAGTATGCAGGAGGGTTTAGAGAGGGGAGAAGCATCCAACAGCGACAGAGACTAGAAGCAGCAGGACGAACACTCAGTGCAATTTTGACGGCGCTCTGGGGTGCTATGCTCTTCCCAGGGGTCCTTTCCAGGTTATTGTTGTCCTGAACAAAGAACTGCACAAGAAACACAGAAAATGTAACATGGTATTGCATTTATTAAAGGTACTGAAAGTAGGAAAAGAAGTACACTCCGCAGAGTGAGCGCAGGCCACTGAAAGAGCTTGTAATGGCCACTGTGTTGTATATCTTCCATTCTGATGTCACATCTTGGCCATCCCATCAAAACCCTGATTGGATTTGTGCCAGAAGAACTGAAGATAGTATTCTCCAATTGGTCCCAGGTGCAAGGTTTAGGCATGTGTGTCCTGGATCTCCATGACAGGTCGCATCTACTTGCCCAGCCAGCCAGCCATGCCCGAATCTCCTGCCTCATTCCTCCTGAGAGGCATAAACCCCCATGATTCTTTATGGAGTGCTGAGGGTGTGGCAGTCTCTGACTTCATATAGCTACTTCCTGCTGAAAGGGGCTGTAGGCTCTACCTAGTGGGGATTATGTGCTCTGCAACTACATTTGGATATTGTTGCTCGCCAGGTTGGTAGAGAAAATCCAGTCAGAAGACAATGAGAAAAAGACAGTAGTGCCTATATGTGAAGAACTGCAGAACTGTGTATTTGATAGGGGAAAGCCTGGTGAATTTGTTAGAAGCATGAATGTACTCTGGCTCACTATTTGAAATCCTGAATGCATAAACTTTACTACTAAGTTTGTGGAGCAGAGCCCAGATAAGAGAAGGATCCATTCAAAATATTTTTGGGTCTGTCTTAAAAGGTGGGCTATACAGATCCAATAGTTAGAGACAATAAGCTTTATTTTCATGCTTCTTGAGGAGAAGAAAGCATGCTTAAGAGGGATATTAGATAAGCTACCAAGAGCCTGAAAGCCATAGCCCTACCAACATTACCCACATTCTAGATCTACTTAACAGGTTATCCCCATTTGCCCAGCCAGCTGACCATGCCATAATCACATGCCTCAGACCTGCCCAAGGCTAGCACTTGTCCAGACCCTACCTTGTGTAGAAAGGAAAGTCAGGTTCCCTGTGTCTTCCCTGGCAACATTACTTCCTGTTGCCCATTAGGTTCCCCTAGCAGCTGTGACTTCTTTGGCCAAACTTTGACACTGAATGACATCTTACATTCTCCAATGGTCCTCTGGGAATGATAGGATGAATATTTCATGGAATGGAAGTGGCTTGCGAGGCTGCCCAAGGCCAGAGCCCTGAGTGACAGCCCCTGTTGGAGTCACCTGACTCTCACCCTGAGGAGGGCTGAGCAGCTCCTCAAATCCTGGTCCATTCCCAAGACAGAGCAGGGAGGGCCTTTCTCAAAAGCAGTAGGAGACCCCAGCCCCCACTGTGCCACCTCCCCTGCCAGCCACAACAGGGCACACCCATCTGGGTTTCCTCCTTGCACAAAAGCCCTCACTTCTGGGATTCCACCAGTAGAAAAAGAACAGCTTTGCTGCTAGGAGCCAAGGTGGGCAATTCCTTCCAGTCTCCACCAGAAGCAGGGCTCGGGGCACCTGGAAGCTGTTTACTTTCAATGACCCATTCTTGTTCAGCTCACTAGGAACAGTTTCTTTTTTTTTTTTTTTTTGGTTTTGGTTTTTCTCCGGTACCGGGAACCGAACTCACGACCTTGTGCTTGCCAGGCAGGCGCTTTTGCCGCTGAGCTAAATCCCCAGCCCCTCACTAGGAACAGTTTCTAATGACATGCAGTTTTTCAGCACATTTGATCAAGTTTCTCAATGTACTTGTAATTTAAAGGAGGGGTTACCAATACTCTGTAATTTTCTTCAGTCTATCATTCTGATGTATAAAGCAACATCAGATGGACACAGACAGATAAGGGGATCCTTGCAGCTTTCAGATCAAAGCATCTGTCTAATGATGGCAGAAGCAACCAAGTCATTTTGTAAGGAACTTTGGTTTTCCGTCACA